GGACTCGACAAAGGTGCCTCGATGTGGGCCACGGAACCCAAGCTCTGTTGTTGCTCTTCAGCGGCAAGACCGAGCAGCTCAAGTATACGGATCTGGCCATAGTGAGGTTTCCTGTGTGGATTAAAATTGGCCAGTGTTGGATGAAAGCTGGCAAAGGCAGGCGGCAGAAGCAGAAGCAGAAGCAGAAGGTGGTTCAGTGAGGGAGCTCATAACCGGGGCAGGGCTTGTCCTGGGAGCCACACTACTCACCATTCCAGGTCACAGCACCAAAACTGATAGGTTTTAATGGTGTCGCAGCAGAGAAACACGCAGAAGGGGAAAGGGGCTTCATTATAAAGGAAAAGGGACTTCATTATCTCAGAGGACACGGAGAGAATTTGGGAAGATAAGGAATTCTCTCAGGAATTGAGTTTCAAGGAGTAAGCTTAAACCAGTTTTACTCATCTTATAAATGCATCTTCTTTGCCAGGCATGTGTTGCATGCCTGTAATGCAACACTCAGGAGGTGGAAGCAGGAGGATCACCAGGAGTTCAAATCCAACCTGGGCTACAGAACAAGACCCTGTCTTTTTTAAAAAACAAAACAAAAAAACAAGCAAGTATTTCCTCATTATGGTTTAATTCTGCCTAGCCTACTAAGTGTTGAATATTTGAAAAGTTAATAGACATAAATGAAACATTAGGAAGCAAGGGGGGCGGGGAGTCTGGGTCCCCCCCCCTCAGCCTCTGGAGTAAGCTGTGACTGATTATAGGCAATTGTTACTCACTGTGCCTAGCTGTAAAAGCTATTTCTTGAAATTCAACACCTTTGAATTATTACTGTCTCTACTTGAATTATGGCCTGCATCTGTTTTTTAGTGTTCAGTATATATGCCATAAAATCTACTTTTTAATTTTTTTTTTTAATGTATTTAGCACAGGGACTACACGGTCTCACTACATCATAGGTCAGATGAGTAGTGATTCTCCTGTTTTCAGCCCCCTAAGCTCTGGGATTGCAGGCACATGCCACCATGCCCACTCTCAATCACTGGCTCAGCTTGCCTTGGGAGTGGGGCCAGAAGGGCCTGCCCACAACTGCACTCCGCCTAAGTAGGCCCTTTAGTCCACTGGTCTATCAGTCTGGCCCTTCTACCGTGTTTTTGAGACAGTCTCACTGTATAGTTCGGGCTGGCCTTGTGCTCATTCTGTAGCCTTGGCTGTCCTCAAACTCCTGGTGATCTTCCGGCCACAGCCTCCTGAATGCTGGGATTATCGGCCTGAACCACTACTTTGGGGTGTTTGTTTTTATATCCGTGAAAAAGAAGTTTCTTTAAAAATTAATGTTGCCTTCTTAAAGTTAGGGGCCGGGGAGATGGCTCAGTAGAATAAGTGCTTGCCTGGCAAGTGCAAAGGCTTCAGTTCAATCCCCGGTTCCACCAAAAATAAATAAATAAATAAAGAAAGAAAGAAAGAAAGAAAGAAAGAAAGAAAGAAAGAAAGAAAGAAAGAAAGAAAGAAAGTTTTGAACTCTTAATTATCCTGTACTTGAAAAGCGAGGTAAGGGTACATTTTTCTTAAAAACATCACAGCCAAGAAATGTTACTGTTTCCCCCCTTCCATTCCTGAACATTTTAGGGGTTTTATATGAGTCTCTTAGGTTTTTTTTCCTCGTTTATTTGGTTCAAACCTGCTTTACACACAGCTTTAATCCCAGCACTTGAGAGACTGAGACAGGAAGACAGACCACCGTGAGTTTGAGGCTAGCCTGGGCTACATAGTAAGTTCAAGACCAGCCTGAACTATGTAGTAAGACCCTGTCTCAAAACAAAAGCCTGATTCATTTTTATAGTTGTCTGGTTTTGTTTTGTTTTGGTACTGGGTATCAAATCCAGGACAGTACGGTACTCTTATCACTGAGCTATACTGTGTGATTGTTTTTCTTTTTAATGCTACATAAAGTTCAAGTTGTTATGCTTCTTTGCCCTTGTTGAAACCAGAGTTATAGAACATAGATGTTCACATAAACTACTGTGCGTTGGTGTTGAATGTGTCTATTTCTTCTTGGTCTTCTTGCAGGCTCCATATCTTCCTTTTAGTTTTTAGTCATTACTTATCTTCCACAAAGGGACTTCCAGTATGTCATCCTGGGTTTACTTCTCCATTGAAGCTAATTATGGTAATCACTAATATTATACTATTTATTTTTCAAGTATATTGAAAAAAAGTATATTGATATGTACATTCTTTTGTAGGCTTATGTATTATACTGTATATAAAATTATATCTGTATCGTATACTGTATTATGCTAAAAAATGTATATCTTAATGTTGGATTTGTTGTATCTTCTTTGATGATGAAAGTCAAGGGTACCATTAACACAGATTAATTTAAGGCTGATGAATCCCTGCTCCACCTTTACGTCCTGGCTATTTAAAGTACTCCCCCCCCCCCCAATGTATGTATTTGGTACAGGGTCTCACTACATAGCTTGGACTTAGAGTGATCCTCCTGGTTTTAGTCTTCCCAGTGCTGGGATTACAGGTGTATGCCAACACACCCCGACTCAGTCACCGGCTCAGTGTACCCTGGGGATCGAACCCTGGTTCCTGCACTTGCCAAAGCAGGCACTTTGTCTGCTGAGCTATCTGACTGGCCCTTGTATCCTGGCTGTTGGTTCATTAGTTCCTTGAATGTTTAAATATCCTTGATGATTACAGCTTTTAGCTAATTGTTTAGCCTTAGCATAATTATATTCTAATGCTATCAGTATGTAGATTTTCCAGGTCATGTAAACACAGCTACTTTTACTCTGAGGAATATATCTGGTACCAGAGAGCTTTCAGAGGACCATGTTTTTGTGGTCCTTATCTGGCAAGACACTTGGAGACCTGAGAACAGTTTTTTTATTTTGCTGGTAATGTCTTATACTGATACACTTGCTTTCAATCAAGATAGTTGATTGTGGTTGTAGGGAAGTGGAGCTATTGCTGGCATTGAAGTTGGCTTGTCTCAGCCTTTATGTTGAGCCTGCTTTTAATTGGTCTGCCTCTTGGAACTTTATAGGCATCTGTGTGAATTTAACATAAATGTGTCTGTATTAATTCACTTCTCATTTTTGGCAGAATAAATTGAATAATTTATAAAATATGTCAAATGATTTTTACAAAGATTTCCTTGGATTAAATACAGCACCATAAGTTCATTCTCTTCATTTGACTTGGTATATATCTTGAACTTAATCCCTTTCTGATTACCTTCTGGATATACATGTACATATTACAGCTGGCCAGCTTCCTTGGAATTTGCCCCTCATTTCTTAATAATATGGCCTTTTTTCCACTTCTTTTTTTTTTTTTTTTTTCCTCTTTGATTTCAGGGGTCATTCTGTAATTCTGGCCTTAAACTCACAAAGTAGCCCAGGCTGGCCTCAGATTGGCTCTACTTCCTCTTGTGTCAGCATCATACATGCTGGGATCATAGAAGTGTACTACTAGGCTGGCTAGTTCTTCAGAGCTTTGTTATTGTTTTTTTTTTTTTTTAAGACAGTGTCTTGGCTAGGTAGTGCAAGCTGGCCTTGAATTCACTTATGTAACCCAGGATTGCCTGGAACTTACGGTGATCCTCCTGTCTCAGCCTCCATAGAGTGTTGGGATTACAGGCATGTACCATCATGCTTGGATTCTTTAGAATTTTGATGTTCTTCAGTCTTGTTCATTTATGTGACTTAATGTTGTATGAACAATAAGTTCCAAAGGATGAATTATATCTGCAAATATTGAAAGAAGTTATCACAGAGGAATTGAGGTTGACTAGGTCTTTTATTTTTAGAGTTCATATTGTTGCCTTAACTCTTTGAGTTAACTAAAAAGATCTCTGAAATCAGTTATTTGTAAAAAGAGCTTAAATTGGGAAGTCCAAACTTTGAGTGTCTATGATCTTAACTTTTTAAGTTATCTATTTGTTCACTGGGAAAGATTTTTCTGACAAGCTATCCGAAATGACGCTTGCCTGAGGAAAAACTCCTAAATACTAGGAGTATGTTTAGGTTTCTGGAAAGCTCTGTTCTTGCAGTTTAGCAGTTCTGAAGGCTTGCTGAGGCCTGACTAGATCCATTCTGCAGTTCAACATTGTATTATCTGTAGTTGACTAAACAGCCCATATTGCAGCAATCTAAAAATCTATTGTCATGTTATTTTTATGTATATAAGGGAAATGTTGGCTGTCAAATCTATCAAGTTCCTGTTCCCTGAAGTTGAACAATGAATTCTAAGAAACAGTGGAGGTTAAGAGTAGGAAAATTTATTGGAGAAAAGGAGTAGGGAAGAGGATTAGCCCCTACAGACAAAAGGGGTCCCTAATGAGTTGCCAATGAGCCCACCTCTCAAAGGAAGTTTTATAGAGCAAAATCATGAGGCGGGTACAACGTGGGTCAAAATTATGATCAACCAATAAGATTGTAAGTGTAGTTGCTTAGGTAATACTGATCTAATGTAAAGGTATGAGTGCCATCATTAACTTTAGTCAATAATCAGTGCCAATAGTCTTGGCATTGTCTTTAATCTTAGCAGTCTTAGTCTTATAGTCTTAGTCTTAGTAGGTGGGGGAGGACAACCCAACCCTAATGAGGAAATGGGAAATTTCATCCCTCAAGGGCCTAACCCTGTCTGACTGCCTACTGTATATTTACCTTAGTTAGCTATAACACTACTGTAGAGAAAATTTTTATAGGGAGATCTAAGTGGTTTCACTCAGTTCTTAGGCTATTTTTGAGAGTTATAGAGCAAAATCACAAGGTGGGTACAATTTGGTCAAATTATAATCAACCAATAAGGTTATAAGAACAATTGTGTATGCAATGTTGATTCAAGGTGTATCAAGGGGATATGGATGACATTATTAACCTTGATCAATAACCTGTGGTTTCAGTTTTGCCCTTAGCCTTAGTCTTAATAGGTGGGAGAAGATGGAGCACCTCTAATAAAATAATGGTTTATTAAATAACTTTTTTCTTTTGCAGATTTCCTTGTGAAACCTTGTATAGTAGTAGAAAGATTCTCAGGACAAACTTCATTTGGTAAGTCCATTCACTATTACCCTCCTGCTCCATACTCTTTCTGTGATAATTTAAGTCAGGGAAAAAATTAATTTGCAAATTGATTGCGGGGGGGCTGTTTGATTCTGTCCATAATTATTTATATGAATTTTTCTGTT